TCCTTTTTTTATGATACTGATTTTTTTGAAGAGACCAAGCCAGTTTTATAGGATGTGTCACATTCTCGATTTGTCTGATTGTTTTCAGTATGTTTAGATTCAGGTTAAACTTTTTTTTTGCAAGAATAGTATGTAGTTGATGTGTGTACTTCTTACTTCATCACATCAAAGGCACATGGCAGGTTGTTCCACTGTTGGTTAAGATAGTGATTGCTAACTCTGTTCATTATAAAAATCTACTCCCTGCTTTGTAATTAATAAGTAATGATGAACGACACTTAGAAATTATGTGGTTCCCCAACATTATCTCACCCAGTGGTAAACATTAATGATCCTTGCCTAAACCAGTTATTATGTTGAGGGCAGCAAGTGGTGATTTTCCCATCTGCCATTTCTTCTTCAGTGATTAATTGGCATTTTGCTGTAAGGAATTAATTTCCCTTTTTAACTCCTCTTTTCCCTGCTCCTATCTCTTGTAGACTAGCAGATTTTTTTTCAAGTTATTATAATCCATTGCCGTCATTATTTTTTTTGGTGTTCAAAATATTTGTCTAGCGGAAGCCCCTTTAGATTGCCTTCTTTGTCCTTTTGGCATGTCCCCATAATCTTAGAGTACTTCTTTTTTTTTTTCTTAATTTTTGAGATATAGTTTACAAACCATACAGTTTATCCATTTAGAGTTTATAATTCGTTGGTTTTTAATACATTCATAGGTATGTGTAACCATCACTGCAGTCAATTTTAGACTATTTTCATCATCTCAGAAGGAAACCCTGTACCCTTTAACTATCCCCCTCTACCCCAGCCCAGGGCAAACACTAATTTCTGTCTCTTATTGATTGCCCTGTTCTGGAAATTTCATATGAATGTAATAATAACAATATGTGGTCTTTTGTGATGTGTTTCACTTCGTGTAGTGTTTTCACCATTCATCCATGTTGTGACATATATTAATACTTCATTTCTTTTCATGGCTAGACAATATTCCATTGTATGGACATATCACATTTTGTTTATCCATTTGTCCATTGAGGGACTCTTGGGTTGCTTCCACCTGTTGGCTATTGTAAACAATACTGCTATAAACATTCATGCACACATTTTTGTGTGTACCTATGTTTTGTGTGTGTGTGCCTAGAAGTGGAATTGCTGGGCTTATAGTAACTGTTTAATCATGAGGAACTGCCAGACTGTTAGTGAAAGTGGCTGCACTATTTTACATCCCCATCAGAGATGTATGAAAGTTCTCATTTCAGCTGACCCTGATTAGTATTTGACTTTTTGATTCTCGGCATCTTAGTGGGTGTAAAGTGATGTCTAATTGTAGTTTTGATTTGCTTGTTGTTCCATCATTCTGTTCAGTTGTCCCAGCATCATTTATTGAAAAGGTTATTCTTTTTCTGTTAGATAATCTTAGCACCCTTGTTGAAAATCAGTTGATCACAGATTAATGGGTTTACTTCTGAATTCTCAATTCTATTCCATTGATGTTTATGTCTGTTTTTGTGTCAGTACCAGACTGCCTTGATTATTGTTTTGTAAATAAATTTTGAAATCAGAAAGTGTGAGTTCTCATATTTTGTTCTTCTTTTTCAAGATTGTTTTGTCTGTTCTTGGTTCCTTGAAATTCCATATGAATTTTAGAATCAGCTTATCAGTTTCTATGAAGAAGACAACTAGGATTTGTTAGGGACTGTATTGCATCTGTAGATCAATTTGGACAGCAGTGCTATCTTAACAGTGTTAAATCTGATTCATGAGCTTGGAATATTTTTCAGTTATTTAGATATTCTTTAATTTCTTTCAATAATGTTTTATAGTTTTCAGAGTATAAATTTTACACTTCTTTTGTCTAACGTATTCCTAATTATTTTATTCTTTTTGATGCTACATAGTAAATGGAATTGTTTTCTTAATTCCATTTCTGGATTTTGAATCATTGCAAGTGTATAGAAATATATTTGATTTTTCTATGTTGATCTTGTATCATTCAGCCTTGCAAATTAGCTTATTAGTTCTGATAGTTTTTTTGTGGATTCTGTAGGATTTCTCTCTTTACAAGATCATGTTGTCTGCAAATAGAGATAGTTTTACTTCCTTTCTAATCTCAATGCCTTTTATTCCTTTCTCTTGCCTAAATTGCCCTGGCTAGAACCTCTGGTGCAGTGTTGAATAGAAGTTTTTTTTTTTTTGTTTTGTTTTTATAGATTTTATTTTTTAGAACAGCTTTTGATTTTCTGAAAAATTGAGAATTTAGTACAGAGAGTTCCTATATATCTCACGCCTAGTTTCTTCTGTTAATTAGCATCTTATATTAGTGTAGTGCATTTGCCACTGTTAGTGGCCCAGTAATGATACGTTAGTGTTAACTGAAGTCCAGACTTCATTCAGATTTCCTTAGTTTTTATCTGGTGTCTTTTTCTGTTCCAAGATCTTATTTACAGTACCGTGTTACATTTGTTTTTCGTGTCTTCTTTGTTTTCTCTTGGCTGGGACAGTTTCTCAGACTTCCTTATTTTTGATGATTTTTAATAGTTTTGAGAAGAACTGGTTGAATATTTTGTAGGATGCCTCTCTCTTGGAATTTGTCTGATATTTTTCTCATGATTAGATTGATGTTACATGTTTTGGAAAGGAAAACGGTAGAGGTAAAGTACAATTTTTATCACATTATATCAAAAGTGCATACTTTCAACATGACTTATCAACGTTGATATTGACCTTGATCACCTAATTGAGGTAGTACTATCAGGTTTCTCCACTGAAAAGTTACTTTTTCCTCCCCTTTTCTGTACTGTGTGTAACCCATATGTAAAGAATGGGAGTTATGCTACTTCTTGAGAGCAGAGTATCTACATAAATTATTTTTTCTGCAAGGGAGATTTGCCCTTTTTCCATTTATTTATGTATTTTTTTATTTAATCACTTATTGATATCAGTGTGAACTCATGGATGTTTATTTTATACTTTGGGTTATAGTCTTTTGCTACTTTATTTTATTGATCAAATACCTCCAGCCTTGGCCAGTGGGTGCTTTTCCAGTAGATTCCTATGTCCCTATGTATAATTCCCTCTGTATAGATTGGTTTGTTTGTTTTGAGCACTTCCCATTTCCTGGCACTACAGGATGCTCCAGACCTACCTTGTCTGTTTCCTGCCTCAGCCCTAGAATTAGCTGTTTTTTTCAAGGAGTCCTGGCTTCTTTTATTGGAGAATGGTATTAGAAACCAAGATCTGGGTTCTTGGTATGCTCATTGCTATGGGGTATTGGTGCTTCTGGGTCCTCTCAGCTGACAGAGCAAAGAAATATATGTGTGTATACTAGCTCATTCCTATTGCTCCACACCCTCACCAGCATTTTAACCTATTTCAGTGCTTACACTAATAAATACGTAGTAATAGATATGCTTGTTTTAAAGCTAATAGGCTTGAAATACACCACCCTGTTTAATTGATGTCCTTACCTTTTGTTTTAAGAATGTTTTCCTCAACTTTAATCCTTTCTCCTCACTTCTATTTAAATTTATTATTTTTTGGATAGTTGTATTAATTATTTGCCTAATACTTTAAAAATAATATGTGAAATCACCCTTTAGGGATCAGGTATATAGTAGGAAGGACATGTAGTATTGGGGCTGTTTGTTTATTGTTCAACTTTTATTATTCTGCAGGCTCATGGTAGGAATTCTTTTGGTGTCTGGGTATTGCTAATAATTTCAGAGAGCAGATAGATAGTCTGTCTACAGGAGTTACTTTGACTTTGAAGGCCACAAAGTGGATATGATGAAAACTAGGTCTGTTTCTTGGCCTGATCCAGGCATTTGTGCTCTCTCCCCTTCCTCCGCTCCTTGACTTGTCTTTGTGAATATCAGTTTTTTATATTCTGGGTAGAATACCTGATTTAATATTTCTGTCTGATAGGATGCTAGGTGATCAAGTTTACTGTACACCCCCTCCGCAATTTAATTTAGTGGTACATTTAGTCATCACATGGCCAGTATCTTGAATGCTTTCTTGTGTAGACCTCTTGATTTAACGGTACTGCTTTCAGTAAATACGCTTGCTTTGTTTTTCTTTTAGTGAGAGATGTGAGCTGAATATGACATCTGTATTCCATTTAGGGATTAGCTATACTTTCTGGTTTCTGCACACAGAATGAAAGGACCAGCCTGATTCATATAGACTTTGTCTCTCATACAGTTCTTGGGCCATTCTTTGGGCAGTAGCTCGGAATCTGTTAGGCCTTCATTTCTGTATATTTCCACCTTCATAACCAACATGAATTAGTGGGACTTTCATTACTAACTTAGTAGTTAGTGACCTGTGTATATTTGATGATATTCTTTGGGCAGTGAAGAAGGGTTAAATAGTTTCAGGCCATAAGATAGTTAAAAAAATTTTTTTTTCAGTCCATAAGATAATTTTAAAGAATCTATTTAAAAAATGGCAAACTGTAGCTGTTCTCATATAAAGAGAAAATTTATGGTTCAGGTTGGCCAGCAACTTGATAAGAGCATTTCTGACATTCAGAATGCATTCAGTCTTAAATCTAAATCTTTGTTTCTTTTCTTTTCTTTCTTTTCCGTACAAGTTTTATTGAGACATAGTTGACATATAGCACTGTGTACTTTTTTAGGGGTTGGGGGGTAATTAGGTTTTATTTATTTATTTATTAAATGGAGATACTGGGAATTGAACCCAGGACCTTGTGCTTGCTAGGCACGCACTCTACCACTGAGCTGTACCCTTCCCTACTGAATCTTTGTTTCTAAATGTAAAGTCGAAAATTAAACTTCTTATCTGAGCCTTGTATGTTTGACCCTTCAGCAGATATCTTATAATGGTTCTGAAATTAGAGGTTCAGAAAAAGCTATGTATGTGTTTACGAGAATAGAAATACTCTATACCAATTTAACTTTTTCATTTTTACGTGTTGTTTTGGCATATTTCTCTTGATTAGTCCATTTATTTATTAACTAGTATATATATTTTTTACCTTATAGGAAGATAAAAAATGATCATGTTGCTAAACACTGCTGAAAACTACACTCTAATGTTATTTCTGATTTCTTTATATAGCAAATTGCACAGAGTTTAAAAGATGAACAGAAGAAGGTACCTTCAGAATCTTCGTTTTCAGATGTTCGGTTAGAAGAAGCAGAATCTCCTAATAATTTAACAAAATCTGGTATGTTATGATGTTTTAACTTCTAACTTTTGCTCTTTCATTTAATAAACTTTTATTGTGGACGTTTCATGTCTCAGGCTTGAAAAACAGCTTGTACATTTGAAGAGCCTACACTTTTAGTAGGGGAGATTGGCAAGCCAAGGCATAATTCAGTGGTGACAGGGTAAAGTATGCACAGGGCACTCTTGACTATGGAAGAAGGGCATCAAAATTATGAAGGAAGATGAACTTTGAGTACAAGAAGGCAGATTCAGTGAGAGGTGTGGCACCTGAAAGCTGTAATGTTTATGAATATGAGAAAGCCAGGTGAAATGAGGTTGTTTAAGATAGAATAGCATGGAGGAAGGCATACAAGAATGGAAGATCATTGTTGCTTTGGGAAAGTCAAGTGGTTTGGTATGTTTGGGCACAGGTTATTTGTACAGAAGAAGCAGGTAAATCAGGCCAGATTGTGATAGGTGTCAGGTAATAATCTCATGGAGTTTGAATGTCTAGCTAATTGTATCATCAGATTTGCAGTTTGTAAATGTACTGAGTGCCTGGGTCTGGGGCAAAAAATTGGCAGAACTGTATAGGAAAGCTTGGAATAGGGTTCATGTTACGCACTGAGCAAAATTGTCATGCAAATAAGACAGACCTCCATGCGTGTAAAATGTCTTCTTTTCCATCTGAGTTTTAGGTTCAACAGAATCTTTCAATGCCAGATCACAGACCACAATTTCCCCAGCAGATCTTCATGGGATGTGGTATCCTACAGTTCGACGAACTCTCGTCTGTCTCTCCAAATTGTACAGATGCATAGATGTACGTGTGTAAAGTCTTGTGTCTTTATTGTAAATTGCTTGCTCTTTCACTTAAAATATTTTTTAAATTTTAATTTTATTTTAAGATCTTGATACAATATAGTTTGGTATTTGATTGGAATCATAGTATTTTTAGATACAGAAATAACTTTAAGATCAACCTAATTTAGAGATTCTGAACCTGAGCATTCTGTAGCCTCTTAGAATCCTCTAATGGGCTTTGAATAATCTATGAACACTTTGAAGTTGTGGGTAAAATTTTATATGTATGTTTATATTTGTGTCTTTCTGAGGGAAAGAGCTATAGCTTTTATTGCTTCTCACAGGGCCTATGACTACAGGTACCCTTGAAACTACTAATTAATTCATCTTAGTGTGTAGATGAAGAAAAAGGTGCAGAAAGGTTAAGTAATATGTCCAACGTCACATGGGTATAATATTCGTTTAGTACTAAATATGGCTACTTTAAATTAGTTTTGCACTCAATTTAAATTAGCTTCCTTATTAAGAAGTAGTGAGGTTACATGAGTTTCTACCCATGGACTAATTTTAATTTCCTGAAATTAGCCATACCCTTTTATTTTATTTTATCTTTTAGTCCCAACTATACTGTACATTGGTTTTAGGTAACAGTTATTTTAAGCATTCCAGTTTAATGTTATGAATATCAATCCCTGAATGGTCAGATTTGTCTATGTTTATTTATTGTCAGTGGTTTGCCGCTAAACCAAAATAGTTTATAAAATTCAGTGATTTTAATTCACTTTTAAAAAATTAATTTGATTGTTACAGCTGAAACAGCATATAAAGAGAGAAGTGATTAAATGCAATAGTCATGTAATTAATTGTCCAGATGCCACTATTTCTTAGAAATTAGATTGGGATTCAGAAACTTCCTACAGTGGAGCAGGATCCCAAGGGAAGTATGCGGGAACCGTATTCCACATAGAACCCATTGTCATCACAGACCCTGGTGAAATCTCTTAGGTGCTTAACAGGGATTTTAGCCAAACAGGGTAGGCCTAAGGACATCACTCTACCTGTTTTTATTTTGTGCCCTAGATCTGCCTATTCCATTTTCACCTAGCATCCAACTCTTATCCCTCTCTGTCTTACCAGACGTAAGGAAAGACAAATCCAATGAAAACCCTATTACGGCTGACCAGGAGAAAGAGAGGGCCTCAGTCTGAGCGGCCCACCTTTGGTCTTCCTAAGGCAATGGTCAGGGACCTAGTAAGAGGCAGCTCTAATCTCTTCTTACTATACAGTGACCTCATGGGAAACAAAAGAGAAGAAACAGTACAGAAAGAGAATAATATCAAGTAGGAGACTAGAGCTTAGGACTGTGGCCAATAATAAATATTTTGCTCACATCCATCCACATCAGTTCCATTTTGGGTGGAATGGAGGCAGAGAGGAATTCTGCAAGGGAACTGACAGGAGTCCCTGCCCAGACCAATAGGCTGCACCTCTAGGAAGATATAGAAATGGTAGAGTTAAATGAGGAATCATACTTCACATACCATTTTGTAACCTGATTTTGCTTTTACTTAGTTATATTTTGTAAGAACTTCGTCACCGCCTATTTAGCATTCTTTGATTTCATGCACAGTGTTCTGTAATTTAGATTACTAGTATTTTTCTTGTTAGCACCCCCCATCATTGAACATTTAAGTTATTTACAGTTTTCTGATGCTTTAAATATACTGTGATGAAGAGCCATGTGCATGACTTTTAGAATACAATACTGATTAATTACTTGGGATACATTCTTAGAAGTGGATTTGCTGAGGCTTTGTTTTAAAGTTGATTTTGCATATTTAAAAGACAGCCTATAATGTGAGATTGTGCCAGAGTGAGCACTCCGTGAAGTCAGAACTGCGTCTCCTGTGCACTGTACTTCCAGCATCTAACACAGAGCCTGGCATGAAACAGGTGCTCAGGAAATACTGTTGAAGAGTTCACATGAGTGTTTAGAAGGATGCAAATTAGGAAACTACGTGCTGGCCTAGAAAGGTTACATGGGAATAGGAAACTCAGGAGTAATATTGCCAGTAATAAATTAATTCATCAGATGAGGGCGAGCAAGCATTGTTCACTGTACTTGTAGCCTACAATTTCCTTTTTTCTATTTTGTGAAGCGCCACAAGGTGATGTTTCTCTTTTATTTCACCAGAGGGCAGTGTTCCAAGGATTATCACAGGAAGCCTTGTCTGCCTGCATTCAGTCGTTACTTGGAGCATCAGAGTCTATCAGCAAAAACAAGGTTTGATGAAGTGTTAGGTGAAGTCTTGTCACCTACAGTAATATTGTGGACTTGATCATTAATTTATAGGCACAGAAATTTAAAGCTATTTGGGCAGTAGGATTTGTTTATGTAATATGATTTAATTTTGAGGTCCTTTGAGAGAAGCTAGTATTTCATTTTAGTGCTAAATAAAGACTATGTTGTATAAGAGAGTGCCAGCTTTGCTGAAGTACCAAAAATGATACTTAGGTTATGAAATCTGTAGGATAAAGGTTTCTTGTTAGAGCCTTAGCAGCTGGGGAGGCAGTGAACCGCTGTTCCCTTGGAATACCAAAATGTTGTTTT